AGATCTAGCCCTAGCTGGTTTGGCTCAGTGGATAGAGCTTCAGCCTGGGGACTGAAGGGTCCCAGGTTTGATTCCTGGTCAAGGGCACATGCCTGGGTTGCAGGCTAGATCCCCAGTAGGGGGCATGTAGGAGGCAGCCGATCAATAATTCTCTCTCATCATTGAGATTTCTCTCTCTCCCTTTTCCTTCTCTTTAAAATCAATAAAAATATATTTAAAAAAATAAAATGAGATCTAGTATTCCATAGATCAGCAGTCGCCAACTGGTGGTCTGTGAGAAAATTTTGGTGGTCCATAGAAAAATTGGACATTATTTGCATTTTTATGTTTTATTAATCCTAATAAATAATAATAAAACAAAAAATATTCTAAGAAATTCTTATATTCTGACTGAATGACAATTTTCGCCTTTACATTGCACTAAATTGTACTAGAGTCTAGTACATTTCATGAATTCCCCTTTCTAGTATCTAGAGAGGGGGAAACGAGAGGTACAAGTGGCTTCAGTATTGTTTTGGCCATTATAGCAGTCACCCGCTCCGTGATTACCGATTCTCATCCAATTGTTTTATTTTATTTGTGTACTGTATGTAACTGTGTATTTCCTTTAACTGTTATATATAATGGCACAAATAGTTTGACTTTAATAACTATCATTACTTGTTTGGTTTTAGATTCGAATGAAATAAACCCATAATGAGTGAAAAAAAAAAGCAAAGGAATATTTTGCATTTCTTTAGTAATACAAAAGATAATGTAACTAATGATAATGGCCAGTGAGCGTCATGGCAGCTCCTGCATTGAGTAACAATAGTAATATGTGTACTTCACTTAACCGTGAGCTGATCAATGAATCAGAGTCTCCACAGTCCTCATCAGGCACCATTTGGAAGAACATTTGAGCTAGAGGTGGAGAGAAGAAAACACTGAAAGTATTAAGAAAATATGATTCGAACTACTTGAAATTTGGATTTGTTCAAGAACCTGGTAGTGAGCTGGATCCATGGCCGCTTTGTGTTGTGTGTTCTGAGAGTTTATCCAATGATGCCATGAAACCTTCGAAACTCAAAAGACACTTGCAATCAAAACACCCAGATTTAGCTAAAAAACCACTTGAATATTTTCAAAGAATGCATGAAAATGTGCAAAAGCAAGTACTTGCTCTAACAAAAATGACTGGAGATAAATCCTTATCAAAGGCTTCTTATCTGATAGCACTTCAGATCACGAAAAATAAAAAGCCGTATATGATTGGAGAAGAATTAATTAAGCTTTGCATGTTCCAAGCCTGTGAAGAGGTTTTGGGAAAGCAGGCTGCCCAGAAACTAAAAGCAATTCCTATGTCCGCTAACACTGTCAAACTCAGAATTAAAGACATGGCTGAAGATATTGAAAATCAAGTTATCCACCATAGAACTTGTATGCATATAAGCATAACCAATGGACACAGACAATGTGGGGGGGGGGGTGATGAAGGCTGGGGTTGGGGGGCAGGGGAAGGCTGGGAGAGGACAATGGGGGTATAGGGGGACATATGTAATACTTTCAACAATAAAGAATTTAAAAAACACCTTTAACCAATAAAAAAAAGAAAATCAAGTTATAAAAATGGTGAAAAATTCACCATTTTATTCAATTCAACTTGACAAATCAACGGACTTAAGTAACAAGGCACTTCTCCTTTGTTTTGTGAGGGTTGAGTGTGAAGGAGAGTTACAGGAAGAACTACTTTGTTTGCTCAACTGGCCGGGTGGAACAACTAGCTCTGAGATTTTTGAAGCACTTAAGAGTTATTTCCTAGAACACAGAATTGAATGGAAAAAATGTATTGGGATATGTACTGACAGTGCCGCAAACATGACTGGATATCTTTCAGGAACTGTTGCAAAGGTGAAAAACGTTGGTCACCCAGACATTTTGTTTACACACTGCATTATACATCGTGAGCAACTTGCAGTGAAAAAAAAAATGTCCCCAGAACTACACTAAGTATTATCAGATGTTATTAAAATTATAATGAAATTTGACACAAAGCTCTCAATTCTCAAATATTTGAGGCACTTTGCAAAGAAATGGGTTCCCAGTATACTCACCTTCTTCTTCACACTGAGGTGAGATAGATGTTGAGGGGCAAGATACTAACCCAACTGTTTGCCCTGTGCGGAGAAGTCAAAATATTTTTCCAGCGGCAAAATAATCCGAAATTACAAGAACTCTTCTCCGACGATGAGTGGGTAGCCAAGCAGATATTTTTTTGCTATTAAATGAATTAAACATATCCTTGCAAGGACAACTTAAGGACGTGTTCACACTACGAGGTAAAATGGACACTTTTCAAAAGAAAATATTACTGTGGCAAATGCGGTTGGCTGAAGAAAATCTGCAAATGTTTTCAAACTTCGATGAATATATGAGAGAGAAGGATGTCAACCGGCAGGTGGTAACCATTGTTCAACAGCACTTATAATCACTCACAGAACCTTTTGGTCATTATTACCCAAAGAAAGAAGATCCCAGGCATAGCAATATATGGATAATAGATCTATTTGCAGCAAACATTGAAGACAGCAATTTAAGCATGAATGAAAAAGAAAGCCTCATTGATCCATCATCCGACGACAGTCTCAACACTAAATCCCAGTCATCCTTATCAAGTCCTCATTTTTGGATCTCCATTAAAAGTGAATACCCATTGCTGAGTGAAAAGGCAATGAAAATTTTGATTCAATTTTCGACAACATATTTGTGCGAAAAAACATTTTCATCTGTCACAGCAATTAAAACTTGGTACTGGTCTTGGCTTGAAATAAATATGGCTCTCCATCTTGCAGTAACAACATTGGAGTAAAAAATCCATAAACTGCCGAAACCGGTTTGGCTCAGTGGATAGAGCGTTGGCCTGCGGACTGAAAGGTCCCGGGTTTGATTCCGGTCAAGGGCATGTACCTGGGTTGCGGGCACATCCCCAGTAGGAGATGTGCAGGAGGCAGCTAATCGATGTTTCTCTCTCATCGATATTTCTAACTCTCTATCTCTCTCCCTTCCTCTCTGTGAAAAATCAATAAAATATATTAAAAAAAAATCCATAAACTTATTTCAAGCAAACAGGAGCAAATATCACACTCTAAAAATGTTTAATACTTAAAGAAGCTTCAATTATTTCATAAAAATTAAACTTACTTTAATAAATTTGTTACAAGTAAACAACCTTTGAAGATTTTGATACAATTAAATAAGTATTTATAATGTTGTTATATTAAACTAGGGCCCAGTGCACGAATTTGTGCACCTTGAAAGGAACTGTGGGCTGCGAGGCTGTGGTGGACACAGGGGCGGGTCTTGGCCCGTCCTCCAAACCCCTACCAGCCCCCAACCCCTGTTGTGGCTCTCTGGTCCCCTCTTCCCAGTCCCACCGCTGCCATTCCCAAACACTGACGATGCCGGCCCCACTCACACCTGCTGACAGCCAGCAGTGGATGCAAGTGGGGTCAGTGCCGTCAGTGGGTGCGAGCGGGGGTTCAGGCGCCAGCTGTGTGAGTGGGGCCGGCGCCAGCAGTGGGTGCGAGAGGTGGCTCCAGCGCAGCAGCGGGTGTGAGTGGTAGCTGCCAGCCCCAATTGTCCCTCAGGAGCGGGGGGAGGTGGAGAAGCTCTAAGGGGTGATCAGGGCCAGCAGCTGCTGCTCACACCTGCTGACAGTGCTGGGTGCTAGTGGGGCCAGCGCAGGCAGCAGGTGCGAGTGCCTGGTGGGATCGCGGTGTATGGGAGCAAAAAAATTTTCAGTGACCACCAGAGGCTTGCCCTGATGACAGCGACCAGTGCCCCATATTGGTCTAATGCCCCCACTCACCTGCTCCACCATCCTGCCACAGCCAATGCCTGCCATGTCCCGTGCGCCCCCCCGGTGGTCAGCACACGTCATAGCCAACGGTTGTTCTGCCGTTTGGTCTATTTGCATATTAGGGCTTTATATATATAGATAGGTGCATTTCATATTAATAAAATGGAAATTCTCTGATCATTTTATAAATGTATTTATCTTTTTAAAAAAATCTTATTAGTGGTCTGCAGGATTTAAAATTATGAATTTAGTGGTCCATGAGGTCTGAAAGGTTGGCGACCGCTGCCATAGATGATGGTATTCTCTATTTCACCAGACGTAAAAGCATCAGTGTCATTTCATGGCAATAGATCATTTTTGAAAGATGCATGGTATTTCCTTAACACGTTAAGTGTCCAGTCAGTCACCAGTGACTGACACTACTTTCTGTCCGGAAGACAAAAACAGTTTGGGCGCTTAACGTGTTAATACTTTCCTTGGACTAGTATCACAAAGAAAATCTTACTCCTGACTCCAGTTCATTTGCTATCTTACCCATTCATTCTTGTTGTTCATATATTTTTATTGATTTCAGAGAAGGGAGAGGGTGAGAGATAGAAACATCAATGATCAGAATCATTGATCGGCTACCTCCTGCATGCCCCACATTGAGAATCGAGCCTACAATCCAGGCATGTGCCCTGACCGAGAATTGAACTGTGACCTCCTGGTTCATGGGCTGACGCTCAACCACTGAGCCACACCCACCGGCCCCCATTCATTCTTTCCATGGCACTGAAACTACACCTGTAATTTGAGTTATAAAATATGTAGATTTGGCTGCCTTAGCTTTCCAAACTGACCTCACTCCAAGTGTATCATCCCTCAATAAACTTGTCTTACCTATTCCAGGCAGACAGGATATATCTACATTACTAAAACTGATTTTTAAATTATATACTACCACTGGTCACTTCTTATCCTATGCTTCAGTGACCAATTTAAGGGGGTTTCTCTTCTCTGAAACATTCCTCAAGTACCACAGCCCACACAGTAATCTCTTTCCTAAACTCCAGAAGTGGAATTTTCCAGTGAGGATATGCTTGTCATACTTCTATGTATGTTTGTAAGTGTGCACAATGTATCTGCACCCGGGTTTTAAAGTGAAGAAGCATCACTTCTGCCAATTTTCACACAGAACTTTATTGAAAACACAGACTCAAATAGAGAACCATATGTTTAAACAACAAACAACAGGGTAGCTTACATAGGCAACTCAGTTCATTGGAAGCTCAATACTGAAAAATACTGCAATCTGGACAGCAAGACAAATATCAACAAATATGTTTTCAGCTCTAATATTCATTTGGCATCCAGAAAATGATCCAGCTCAAGCCAAGAACTGGACAAAGTTAACATCAGCATTAAAAATATAAATTACAACACAAAACCAGACGGTGAAAACCAAAGCACTACTCGGGGCTCTTTGGGAACACAAGGCTGATGAGACAGATGGTTAATCTTATTAGTTTGGTTGTCCTCCATCAGGATCGTTTTGATTGTCTATTTGGGTTTGTAGTGCCTTAGCTAGCTTCTCAAATTCGTGGAATGCAGACATAAACGGCACAGGACTGAAATCATCATCAATTAAGGCTGCTTTTCCATTTCTCATAATAGTATTGATATTCTGAAACATTTTAATAACAATTTGAATATTATCATGTGACTCTTGTAAGGTAAAGAGACCCACAAATACCGACAGAGCTTTGGTACTGAATAGAGTTTTTGCCACCACAGGATTTTCAGACATGTTCAACAGCATTTTCAGAACATAAAACTTTGTTGTTGCATCTCCTGTGACTAACAGAGAAAGAAACTCAGACATAAAATTGGCAACCAGTGTGTGATAGTCATTAGTCATAGTGAGGTGTCTAAGCAGCCTTAATCCAAGAAGTTGCTCAGGGGAATCCAAGCCTTGTGCAAAGGTTTCCTCACACACTTGACATATGAATGTTTCAATCATGTTTAGATGTGGATAAGGTGGAGCCATGAGAATCATATTTTCCAAAAATCTTGTCCTAACTCGGGAGGTGGGATAATCAAGCAATGTTTCAATAAGTGAGACAACACCTGAATCCCGAATGAAATCTCGGGTAAACTGAGAAGCACTTCTCGTACCCATTGCAATTTTATATATTTCCTGAATAAAAGGATCTCGAACCTTTTCCATTAACAGGAGGAGTTCCTCAAACTCTCCAGAACCAATTTTAAGTTCACATTGTATGCAGCTGCAAGACCAACTCTCAGGCTCCGCACTCTCCCTGGTCCTAAGATGCTCTCTAATTTCCCGGACTGACCGGTAGGAGGGTTCACACTCCAATGTGAGCTGATCGGCCTGAGGGGAAGATTCCTCATCTTCCCCTTCCGCATTGGGCTTTCCCACAAACAGTTCAGCGAATGCAGAGGATGCATCTTCGGGAATTCTAAAGGAGCTTGGGGATGGGAAGCCAATCCTGTAAGGGCCAGATTTGTATTCAACAGTGACCTCTTCCCAGGTTCGAGGCCTGGATGCTGTATTAATTCCCTCTTCAGCTAAATCTCTGAACCTGGAACTAGCCCTGTACACAGGATTAGGATTTAGGTCAAAGCAAGCCTCATCCCTATCCCAGAACCAGGACCCAAATATGGCCTCTTCTTCAGACTCCTGCCTGGTCTCTTCTCTGGCCACAGCCCCCAAACTGGACTTTTCCTCTGTCCAGAACAAGGATCCACCAATGGCCCCCTCCTCAGCCCCTGGCATGGACTCACAGATGGCTGAAGCCCCAGCCTCCACACCAGCCTCTTTCTCTGCCCAGAACCAGGACCCAATGATGACATCCTCCTCAAACTTGGGCTCATGCTTGACCCTATCACTGTTATTATCTTTCTGGGCCCTGGGCTTCAAGACAGTATTAGGCTCCTCCTTATCTCTGGGCCTGAACCTATTAATGATCTCTTCAGGCAAAAACCAAGACTCATTATAGTACTCATCTTCAGACTCAGATTCAAAAAAGTCCTCTTTCTTTGTCCTGGGTTTGGACTTAGCATTTGCCTCATCCCTGACTCTGGGTCTGAACAAGTTATTGGCATTTTCTCCAGGCCACAAGCAGAATGGGTTGCCAGACTCCTCCTCAGACCCAGACCAGGAATCAACATAGGGTTCTTGCTTGGATCTGGGCCTAGACCTGGGGTTAGGCTGATGTTTAGCCCTGTGCCTGGACCTGGTACTGGCCTCTTCCCTGGGCCATGATCTGATAGTGGCCTCTTCTCCAGCCCAGAGAGAAGACATCGTAGAGGTCTCATCTGCTGACCAGAATCCAGATTCATTAGACGCTTCCTCTCTGGCCCTGGGCCTGGGATAGCACCAAGACCCCATATTAGTTTCCTCCCCTGATCCAAACCAGGGTTGAATTCCTGACTGACCCTGGGAGCCAGAAAAGGTCTCAGGGTCCACATTTACCAGTTCCCTATCTACAGATAGGGCTATGGGTTTAGCAACTGATCCAGACTCAGTACTGACCAGTGGCCAAGCTGCTGCATTGGTTTGGGGCATGCCCTCTGTTTGGGACATTGCTTCAGCTCCAAATTCAGCCTGAGCCCAAGCCTGGGCTTCATCCTTGGGCCTTGCCCCAGGGATTGCCTTGGCCTCAGTTTTAGGACGTGCCCCGCCTACTGCCCTGGCCTCAGTTTTGGGCCTTGCCCCAACCACTGCCTGTGGTTCAGTTTTGCGTCTTGCCCCAGACATTGCTTGGGACTCAGTTTTGGGCCTTGCCCCATTCATAGCCTTTGACTCAGTTTTGGGTCTTGCCCCATTCATAGCCTTTGACTCAGTTTTGGGCCTTGCCCCAGGCATTGCCTGGGTCTGGGTCCTAACCTTGGGTCTGACCACCATCTGGACATCATTCTCTCTCTCAGTCCCACCCCCAACCTCTTCTCCAGCCTTCTTTTCAGGCTTGGCCTGGGCACTAGGTTCAACCTCAGCCCCAGTCATAGTACCCGTTACAGAAAAGACACAGTTAAAATATCAGTAGCACAGTCTGAGCCTCTACCACAGATGTGTCACAGTCTCTATCTTCACACTCTGATCCTTCGGTGATTCAGACGATACAGTTAGAAATAAGAGTTAGAGTCAATCACCAGTCCAGCAGTCAATAAGCCTCCTTCCCAAGACGAGCCACAACCAATATTATAGACAGGGTGCAGAAGAGGCACAACCAAGCTGGGGGAGAACAGATGGTTCCCAGGTGGGGGCGGAGCCGTTGAGGGTGGTGGTCAGCAGCAATTCCAACACCACCAGAGCTGCCACTAGAGGTGAATCTAAGGAGAGAGATCAGCATGGGGCTTTGAGTCTCGTCCAATTGTGTCACTCCAAGTGGAGACTCACACACAGACACTGAACCTTGAATACTTGGTGGAGCTGTTTGGCTACTAGAAAATCTGTCACCCTCATTCCCCCAGAGCTGCCACATACTTGGCCTGCCACAAAATAGGTGTGAGGTTGGTGGGGAAAGTATGTTGGTAATGGAGCTAAGGAGCCCCCAGACTAGATGCTAATCACTTTTGGACCTGTGTTAGTCTCAACTATTCCACTCCCATACTAACCTGCTCTGATGTGGTGCAATATCCCCTCCCTTGCTCTGTTCCAGTGGTATTCAGCTGTAGAGCAGATAGCAGGCTGTCCTATGGACAAGTAAACATACAAGAGAAAATGAACTCTGAGTGCTTAGTTGACAGGCAGACACCCTGACGCCTAATGCAAACACCTCCCTTTCTGTTTAAGGGTCAAATTTTTCTAATGTTTCCTGTCTCCTGGTTCTTGACCCCAGGTCTTCTCTCATTCACACCCAACACATACCCAGATATTTCTAATATCTCCTGCAGGAAATGCACAGGGGAGGCTGTAACAGTGTGCAAATCTGGCAGGGCAGGAGAGGTGGATCACAAAGACCTGCCATAATCTTACTCGGTAACTGTCCCTTGCAATGTCCCTCTTTGCACCAACCTGCAGAGAACTGAGCCAATCTCTTCCTCTATTTCCTTCCTTGCAGAAAGTGACCAGCCTTAAAGCAAGCCTATGGACAGACAGACAAAAAGATAAGACAGTCAGGAGACCATGGTAGCAACTGAGCACTTGATGGGAGTCCAACACCAATGATGGAAGTCCACAGGTTATTTGTCTTTCAATATTTAGGGTCTTCCTGGTCGAATACTCTCGTTTTTATCCAGTCTCTCTGTTTCAGGATTCCAGATAACGACATATTTTCTTGACGTCACAGTCTTCCCATTGCTCCCTTCTCCAATTCTGAGGATTCACCACTAGGTGCACCACATCCCTTTGCCTTGCGCAGCATAAATTGGGGGAAGGGCTCCCGCATATTCTAGAAAACAGGTTGTGCAGTGGCACTTGTAATTATGAATCTGTCTCACCCTCACCTCTGAGCCCATCTTTTTCTGCCCACTTTTGGTTGAAATAAAGGGAGGAGGTTAAGAGAAGTACCTAGAAGCTGGTACACAGGGAACCCCCCAATTCTGCATACAGTCAATGCTGTCCACCAATCCCCATCCCCACACACCTCCAGATCCAGGCTATTTTCCTGCTCCAACTTTCTCAAGCCGCTCCTCTAGAGATGCACCCTGCAGCCTGAAACCGCCGGACCTACCACGCAAACATGAGGCTTTGGCATCAACGAGGCGCCTGTGGGAAGGGAGAGCACCCAGAACGCAGGGCCCAACAGGCCCCTTTCCACAATCACGGCCCTGAGTAGCCATCGCCATCGCCATCGCCCCGGCGCCCCCACCCCCGGCCCCGCTCCCGCTCCCGCTCCCGCTCCGCCATTTCTCCCCAGCACCTCCCCTCAGCCCTCTCCCAGCACAGACACCTCGAAGGCGGGGCGCGGGCGCCGGGAGAGCCGGCTGGGGAGCAGCGCGCGTGCTTCGCCTCCGCAGACGCCCGGGAGCCCCTCCGGCCCCTGCGCCTTGGGCCGGCCCGCGCCGCCTCCTCGCCGGGGTCCCCGGCGCTGCGCTCCGCTCTCGGGGACCGGCTCCGACAGCCCGGCTCGCCTCCTCCTCGCCAGGATGCCAGGGTCGCGGCGCGGGCTGTAAGCGGGTGGGAGTGGGGCCGCCCCGCGCCCCCCACTTGCCTTTCCAGGCTCGGGGCCCGGTGGTCGTCCTCCCCGCCTCTCAGAGCTGCTCACGCAGATCCCACCGCCTCCCGTGAGCGCGGAACTGCAAAGAGGCGTCCCGCCCCCGCGCCGCTGCACCAAACCGGCAGGGGCTGCGCAGGCTGCGACAGAAGCGCTGGCAGCGAGGGTGTCGGGAAGGGGGCGGAGGGATACAGCACGAATGGGCTCGACGCCCCCCAGGCCCACCGTAGTTCCGACCCGAGGGGGCGGGGCCGGCCGGGGTCCGGGCCAGACCAGACCCAGCCCGAGGGGCGGCTTAGCGCCAGCCCGCCTCCGGGCACCAGCGCGGCCCCTGCCTGGCGACCACCCCCACTGCAGGGCCGTTCCTGGCGCTACAATCAGGGGGTCGGCGGGCGGGCGGGGGCCTGGGGGGCGGATGGGGAGGGAGGTCCATCGGTGCTGCGCTGGACGCAACAGCGGAAGGATACAAAGCGCCCTTGGTCTGTGCGTCCCCAGACAGCTCTGTCTGCCCACCGCCCCCTCCTCCATCCCACCAGCCATCCTTCCAGATGCGATGGGAGAGGAGGGGCTGTGCGGACTGCGGGCTGTGAGGAGGGGTGGGGGGAGGAGAGCCAAGGCCAGACCACCCCAGACATCCTGGGGTGGCCCCAAATGTTTCTTTTATTGTTCACAGTCCAGGAGAGGGGAGGAAGGTGGGAGGGGGCTGACATGGAGGCCTCACCACTTGTTCCTCTTCTATAGGAGAGCAGATCTAGACCTCTAACCCTGGCAAACAGTCCAGTGCTCTGCGCCCAGAGTCATTCTTTCTGTCACACTGCTTTTTCTCTCATTCGAAATGATTATACGTGTTGCCATTTTGCGGTCCCCACAGTTGCCCAAGAGTTCCCTTCCCTGCCAGGACCCACGCTGGCCATGCAATCTTCCCTGCCTGTAGCCCCATAGCCAAGTATCAAGCAACAGGTAGGGCAGGGCCTGGTTCCTCTTCCTCTGGTTCTGTCTGTCAAGTCTTCTCTTGCAGTCACATCCAAGCTATCATAATCTTTGGCATTGTGGAAATGTGTCAGGGATTAGAACCAGCTTGGATCTCAGCCACTTCCCATATACACCTGTCTAGTTTGCCCAGTTATTCTTTGGATAAGGCTCTCGCATGCATGCACCCAATTCCCAAGGCAGAAACCTGGCCATTCCTTCACCCCTACATCTTTCCTCTAGTCTTGAGCCCCTCCTTTTTGTGCCACATCCAAACAGTGCAATCATGGTTAAGCACACTCTGGTTGAACACAAACCTGCTGGCACTGATCCCCTTTTGAAAACCGAATTAAATGGCACCCCTCACTGCAGTAGGTTGTATGAAGGTCCCTCAAGCATGTCCATGTCTAATTCTCCCAAACCTATAAAAGTGTGATGTTAAATGGCAAAGGAGAATTAAGATTGCTAATCAGCTGAATTTAAAGATTATGGATATGCTGCATTATCCTGGCCAATGTAATCTCAAAGGTACTTTAAATGTGGAAGAGCCAGGTAGAAGAATCAGTGTTACAGTGAAGTGGCATGACAAAGATTGGACATGCTGACAGGCCATTACTAGTTTTAAAGATGAAAGGAAGCCAGGGGTCAAGGAATGCAGGCAGCCCCAGAATCTGGAGATAATGGATGCCAATTATCAGAGGACAGCCACTTTTACTATACAGTTTAAATGGCGTTAGCTGAATTGTGGATTTTTGTTTCTTTGTTCCACAGTATACTCTGTTGGGTGAATACCAGGCTTGAAAAAGGGAATCTGAGTGAAGCAGGTTAGTAAGAAGCAAGGAAAATTCCTTGGCAAGTGGAATAGGGAAACTGAGACATAGTTAATTGGCCAAGCAATTTACAGCCAGATACTAAATCACCAGGTCTTATCTTCCCTAACCAAGGACACTTAGCAAGTGGTTTACACATTACAGAAGGTGCAGGGGCAGACCCACCTAGGTCCTGGTCCCTCTTCAGTGACATTCTTTGAAGGTGAAACTGACCAGAGAATGACCCTGACCCCTCTATAGACTCATTTTGACAAATCAGCATATTAAAGGACACACTTGGAAAGCTGAAGACTATTCTCTTGAGATCCTCCCCTGAAACCTCCCTTAAAATTCCCCCCTTTAGAAAACAGATAAAAGCCATTAAGACAAAGGACCCAGTGTATGCTCTCTCTAGAGCAGTGGTTCTCAACCTTCCTAATGCCACGACCCTTTAATACAGTTCCTCATGTTGTGGTGACCCCCAACCATAAAATTATTTTCGTTGCTACTTCATAACTGTAATTTTGCTACTGTTATGAATCATAATGTAAGTATCTGATATGCAGGATATATTTTCATTGTTACAAATTGAACATAATTAAAGTATAGTGATTAATCACAAAAACAATATGTAATTATATATGTGTTTTCCGATGGTCTTAGGCGACCCCTGTGAAAGGGTCGTTCGACCCCCAAAGGGGTCGCGACCCACAGGTTGAGAACCGCTGCTCTAAGAGTAACCAGGGGAGCAGCAGGCAGTGGTAGCTTTTCCTGGGCTAACCCCCTGAACCTGTCTCAAAGGGCTCTCCTTTTGCCTAACTTTTCAGTGAGCCAAAAATCAGTTCTACCTAGGCTTACTCCTGTTGCTGTGATCTTGCCTCTTCTATTTGGAGCCCTTCCTTTGTCTCACTGTCCCCAGCTTTAATAAATGTACTCTCAAAATCACCTGGACTTGTCTTGTGAAATCCTTCCTGCACAAAGTGAAGAACCCACACATTCCAAACTGTGCAGGGCAGACCGCCTTGGTCCTGGTCTTTTCCAGTGACATGACTACTGCTTGGATCTGTGGGTGTGTGTGAATCTCTTTGACTCTAAACTGCTCCTTCTCTTTCTTAAAGCTACTTGTGTCTTTCATTCATTCAACAAGTATATATTGAGTACAGACTTTGTTCTAGGCACTAGGGATGCAGTGTAAACAACAACAACAAAAAAAGAATTTCCAGTTCTTATGGAGCTTACATTCACTTGTGGTTTCTATATTATTTAATTTCCTAATAAAAAGTTTACAATCATGCCAGCATAAGGTATCTGGTAATTCTCAAGGTGCTGGAATATTGATTCCAAGATATTTATTGACAGGGGAGTGGATCTGCAAAAGGTTGACTTTACTGTGAGACTGAAATATTTTTTTGTGTAACTTGTTCTCAATTCGTTGATAGAATAGGACTCAGTGATGGCGAACCTATGACACGTGTGTCAGAGGTGACACATGAACTCATTTTTTTGGTTGATTTTTCTTTGTTAAATGGCATTTAAATATATAAAATAAGTATCAAAAATATAAGTCTTTGTTTTATTATGGTTGCAAATATAAAAAAATTTCTATATGTGACACGGCACCAGAGTTAAGTTAGGGTTTTTCAAAATGCTGACATGCCAAGCTCAAAAGGTTCGCCATCACTGGAATAGGTGTTGCTGGTGGAAAATAAGGCTCTTCCAGGGAATCAAGAGAAAAGCATTTTGGGGACCCACGCATGGAAGGATGAGGTGTAGCGGTAAGATTTATTGGAGCTGGAGCAAACACAAAGGACTGTCCCTAAGTGCCCAATGTCTCATCTACTATCAGGTGACTTAGCTCCGTCCAGCTGTGTAAGAAGCCAAGCATTGTCTTCACCAAGCCCAGAAAAAGGGCCAGAATCCAGAGATGTTATGCCATTACCCGGTATCAGCAGGGCATGCAAGGCTTTCATAGTTCATGTAAGACCATGCCAAAGCTTAGTCCAGCTCAGTCTCTATCTCCATGCAGCTAGCTTAGTCTCTGCTCCCTGCTGTGCTCCAGCTGGTGCTGTGCTACTGCACCAAACCTGTGCTGGGAGCCTTGCAGCTACTATGGAGAGAGAACTCACCCAAATAGGCGACGGAAGTGGCAAACATGTGCTACCAAGAGGGGCCTTTGTTAGGCTTTGATTATATTACCTCAGGCTTAGGAGAGGGCTTTTCTTTTTATTTATTTTATTTTATTTTATTTTTTAAAATATATTTTATTGATTTTTCACAGAGAGGAAGGGAGAGGGATAGAGAGTTAGAAACATCGATCAGCTGCCTCCTGCACACCCCCCACTGGGGATGTGCCCGCAACTAAGGTACATGCCCTTGACTGGAATCGAACCTGGGATCCTTCAGTCCGCAGGCCGACGCTCTATCCACTGAGCCAAACCGGTCAGGGCTCTTTTCATTTTTTAAAAAAAATTATCTTTATTGTTGAAAGTATTACAGATGTCCTCTTTGTTTGTGTTTTTTTCCCCCTTCCACCCCTTACCCGCCCCTCCAGGCCTTCACCACTCTATTGTCTGTGTCCATGGGTTATGCATATATGCATATAAGTTCCCTGGTTCATCACTTCCCTCCCACCCCCACCTTCTCTCTGAAATTCCTCAGTTTGTCCCATGCTTCTATGTCTCTGGTTCTATTTTATTCATTAGTTTATTTTGTTCATTAGACTTCACATATGAGTGAGATCATGTGGTTCTTATCTTTCTCTGACTGGTTTATTTTGGTTAGCATAATACTCTCCAGGTCCTTCCATGCTGTTTGCAAGTGGTAAGAGTTCTTTCTTTTATAGAGTTGCATAGTATTCCATTGTGTAAATGTATCACAGGTGTTTTTTGTTTGTTTGTTTTTTTATCCACTCATCTGATGATGGGCACTTGGGCTGTTTCCAAATCTTACCTACTGTAAATTGTGCTGCTATGAACATGGGGGTGCATATATTCTTTCTGATTGGTGTTTCTGATTTCTTGGGATATATTCCTAGAAGTGGGATTACTGGGTCAAATGGGAGTTAATTTTTTAATTTTTTGAGGAAACTCCATACTGTTTTCCACAGTGGCTGCATCAGTCTGCATTCCCACCACAGTAATTAGGGTTCCCTTTTCTCCACATCTTTACCAACACTTGTCATTTGTTGATTTGTTGATGACAGCCATTCCAACAGGTGTGAGATAGTACCTCATTGTCATTTTGATGTACATCTCTCGGATGATCAGTGTCTGAGAATTTTTTCATATGTCTTTGGCCTTCTGTATGTCCACTTTGGAGAAGTGTCTATTTAGGTCCTTTGCCCATTTTTAGAATTGGATTGTTTGTCTACCTTTTGTTTAATTATATGAGTTCCCTATATATTTTGGAAATTAATTCCTTATGAGATATATCATTGCCAAATATTTTCTCCCATGCAGCGGGCTCCCTTTTCATTTTATTGATGGTTTCTTTTGC